TTTTTAACAGTTTGTGAATGATTTGACGATTATGCAGTTATCTCTATTTGCTAATGACATTGTTATTAATGTACCCATCAAACTGTTATTATGTGTATGTTATTGATTATCTTTTACCACTATTATCAAACTTTCCATTTAACTGTTGCTATTCTTGTTCGTGTCATCGTTATTGCTATTATTTATTCAATCTGCTTAATTATGTTTTGCTCGTCGTTTCACTTATCAACCGAATCATCATCATCATTAACCAGTTAACCATTTAATTTACATTATTTACTTTTTTCAGACCATTAGCAATTCGACAAGTTAATTAACTTATTATCACCTGAATTACCCATTTAATTACCCTTCCTTTTTACTCTTTCAGAACATTAACAGTTCGAACAGTTAATAACCAGTTAATGATTACATTATCACTGAACTTTAATTACCCTTCTGTCTTACTCTTTCAGTTCGAACAAGTTAATAACCAGTTAATGATTACATTATCACCTGAACTGCCCATTTAATTACCCTTCTTTCTTACTCTTTCAGTTCGAACAAGTTAATAACCAGTTAATGATTACATTATCACCTGAACTGCCTTTAATTACCTTCTGTCTTGCTCTTTTCATTAACAGTTTTAATGACCAATTAATGATTGCATTATCACCTGAACTGCCCATTTATTACACTTTTTAGTTCGAACAAGTTAATAACCAGTTAATGATTACATTATCACCTGAACTACCCATTTAATTACCCTTCTGTCTTACTCTTTCAGCCCATTAGCTGTTCGACGAGTTAACGACCAATTAATGATTGCATTATCACCTGAACTACCCATTTAATTACCCTTCTGTCTTACTCTTTCAGCCCATTAGCTTTTCGACGAGTTAACGACCATTAATGATTGCATTATCACCTGAACTACCCATTTAATTACCCTTCTGTCTTACTCTTTCAGCCCATTAGCTGTTCGACGAGACCATTTAATGATTGCATTATCACCTGAACTACCATTTAATTACCCTTCTGTCTTAATTAATTAACGACCAATTAATGATTGCATTATCACCTGAACTACCATTTAATTACCTTCTGTCTTACTCTTTCAGCCATTAGCTGTTCGACGAGTTAACGACCAATTAATTGCATTATCACCTGAACTACCCATTTAATTACCCTTCTGTCTTATTCTTTCAGCCCATTAGCTGTTCGACGAGTTAACGACCAATTAATGATGGTCGAGAGAGCATTTATCGACACCCGAGGTCTTCCAGGCCGACCTGACTACAAGTGAGTTTTTTTTATTTTTTTTTTTCTTTTTTCTTATTTTTTTGTTTTCTTTGCTATTCGTTTCTCTTTTTTTATCTTTCTTTGTCTTGTTTTTTTATTTTTTTATTTCTATTCTTTTTTTTCTTTCTTTTCTTTTCATTTTCTTCGTTTGTAAGTTTTTTTTCCCTTTTTCCCCTTTTCATTGTTTTTTTATTTTCCTATTGTTTATTTATTTATTAGTATTTTTTTATTATTAGTATTTTTTGTGTGTGTGTGTGTGTGTGTGTGTGTGTGTGTGTGTGTGTGTGTGTGTGTGTGTGTGTGTAGTGTGTGTGTGTGTGTACATTTTTTCCCGAAAATTGAATGGGTTGGTTATGAATGTGAAGGATTTGAGGGTCGTCGTCGTCATCAGGATCAATGTCATTATCTTCATCATCACTATCATCATCACCATCACCATCTTCACCACCATTATCATCACCAACTATCATCAATACCATCACCACTACCATCATCACCATCAGTCACGCTGAAAGTTTTGTTACACACTTTTTTCATCACCATGACGATGACGACGATGTTCGTGATGACAAAGATAGTGATGATAAAGATGACGACAAAGATTGTGATGATAAAGATGACGACGACAAGATGTGATGATGACGACAAGGATTGTGATGATAAAGATGACGACAGAGATTGTGATGATAAAGATGACGACGGCAAAGATTGTGATGATAAAGATGACGACGGCAAAGAT